AAAAAATGATAAACAAGTATGGACAATTAATCTATAGTACTTCAACAATGTGTGATTATGGGAGATATTTTCTCCAACAGGGTACACACAATTTGTCAATTGTAATTTTGTAATCTATACTACTTCAACAGTGTGTAATTATGGGAGATATTTTCTCCAACAATGTACACATAATTTGTCAGTTGTAATTTTGTAAACTCAAGTTGGGCATGCTATATGATCTATACTACTCCTAGCTTGGCTGCTTGAGCTTCTAATAAAGAAATTGAAAAGGAAAATGGCCCACCACAGACAATCACAACAAAACAGGCAGGCTAGCTAGTGACTGATTTGAGAAGGGACAAACCATCTAGAGCACACAATACAAGCCATCATCATCTTTGGTCATTGCTTAGGCCATGTGGTCAAATAATTAAGGAGTACTGAATAGACTATTGTATGGCTTAATTAGCTTGCCTATAATCAATTTTTTTTCGCTGTTAGGCCTCTACCTGTGATAGAGTGCAAAGGTCATCACCCCTACCCAAATGATATGTTATTAGGTTGGACCAACCGATTAGGGCGTTAGTGAATGGACTGAAAACATGTCGACAAAGATAAGCTATTTTTTTCTTTTCCAAGACATGGAGTATGTATATCATTGTCATGGCATATGAGGTAGCTCAGGCTTTTGGTTACATAAATAACAATCCACATAACAAGAGTGTGGACCACAAAATTCTCTAGATCTACTCATGTGGATGGCAATATAGGTAGCGATCCATGTGTGCAAATTTTGATTTCTCCCCTGACTTATTTAGTGAGTACTCCCTCCATACTCATAAAAGAAGTCGTTTAGGACAATGTTTAAGTCAAACCTTGGGAATATAAATCATGGAAAACTCTCAAATTGTTGAGTTTGAAAATGTAAAAATTATATGAATAGATTTGTCTTGAAAAATACTTTCATAAAAGTATACGTATATTACTTTAGAATAAATATTTTTATAGAAACAAGAAGTCAAAGTTATGTTTTAGAGACCGTGTCGCTGTCCAAAACGACTTCCTTTATGAGTACGGAGGGAGTAGTTGTACTATTATATATTATATTTCCCATGTTTTAAAATTAATCATTTGAGCTATGAATCTAGTCATCTAGACAAAATTGCTATATTTTAGGACTAATGGATAAAACAATTTCAAGGCCATAAGGATTGAGTTATCTTGCACGAAAATCTTGAAATTGTTCTTGAAAAGCTTATACATGCTTTAAATTAACTTTTTAGTCATGATATAAATATTTTTATAAATATTTTTTATAAATATTTGATCTACCTTCTTTCTTACTAGTAATATACATCCAGAAAATCGAGTGGCTTGCTTTCTTTCACTGCTGCCATTCACAAATTGGCAAGATTTTCCACTAAGAAATGCACACTAAAACCTTCCAAACACACTGTCATAGTGATGACATGATTACTTATTTAATCACATACTGAAAACAACCAATTCCAAAGGTACAAGCACCTCTGGGACCGTTCAAAGATCATCACCGGAGAAAGAAAGAAAAATAAAAGAAAAGAAAGCCGCGCAGGAAACCGCTCGATGTGGCCGTTCAACAATCAACAACGCCGCTTTCGCTTTAAATAACAAAAAAAAAAAGATGAGCATAGAAAGCAACGGGTGCAAAGCGACACGCGACAAGTGTGAGCCCGTTATAAAAAGCCACGCGGCCATCACGTGGCCACTCCTCCTCCTCCGCCTCCGCGTTTGTGACATTTTTTTTCGCTCTCGCCTCCCCCCTCTACCGCCATGGCGCGCGGCCTCCCGGCGAGATCGGCGGCGAGGTGGTGGCGGTGGCGGTGGTGGGAGTAGTGCGTCAGCCGCCGCCGCCGGCGATGGCGAGGGAAGAGGTCTCCGGGTGCGCGGCGCCATGAGATCGATCGATCGATCGATCCGTGAGGCCGCGCGCGGTGGTGATGCCGTTGCTCCACGGCGAGGTGAGGTGCGCCATCACTTCGGCCCTCCTGCTTCAGGCGAGAGACCGGCCGCCGGCGATGGCCGGCACGGAGGATTGGCTTTTCCGCCGGCTCGAATCGAAGCCAAAGCAAAGCTAGATCGCCGGGATACTCGGCGCCTCGAGATGCGGACTCGTCGGCGGCCGTGCCGGAGCGCGATTTGGCCGCCATTGCTGACTTGGGTGTCAGCGAATTGCAAAAGAGAAGCGGGGGGCGGCACGGATTTCGAGGTGAGGGCAGGATCAAATGCTTCGGCAAAAGGCTGTGCTTCTTTTCTTTTGTTCATCCTCCTTGGCGTACTCCAAAGTTGATGTCAGGGAGACCCGGCCTGCAAAATGGTACTGTACTCCAGTACTCCTCCTCTGTGCTTAGCTTAATCCTGATGCTGCTTCAAGTGCATCGCATTCAAAGGTAGGAGTATTTTGGAGTTAAAATTGTTTTTTTTTTTGTTCTCACAAGTGGATTTTCTACCTTTTTACCTGGTGTGGTTCTCCTTGGGTGTCTTACTTTTGCACTGACAGTGTCTCAAATTCTACATGCATTTATTTTTTAAAAAAGAAGGGCGGTGCACCAGTTGTAAAATGTAAAGCAACGACCCGTTGTTGATAATTCGGAATAAAAAAGAGGATGCAGTGCTGATACGGTTGCAAGATTGGCATCAATCAAACACTTGTAAAATTCAATGTATGTTCATCCATGCCTTGATGTAGGAGTAGTAGGCAGTATTTGCCATTCTAGCAGTCAACTGTGATGAATCCAATGGCCATAATTTGGCAGTGGCCATTCCATTTTTCCTGCTCACTCATTCCCCACCACATGCGGAGTGTTCACTGTACTACCATATAGTACTAATTTAAAACATTTTAATAAAAATCTTAAAATGCCATAATTTACACGCTTGTTAAAAAAACCATAAACGGTAAATAATCAAAGATGGGTGCAGTTTTTTACCCCCGGCTGAGCGCAGACAATCCCATGTGAGAGGGGTCGCGAGGCCTACAACCACGTGCCTCCTTGTCAACATCCGGGGCTCACGTGAGTTGCATGTGGTCCCCCCCCTACCACTCCACCACACGCTTTTCCCACTCCCGAACGAACCAGACACCCCCACCCCCCGTCTCCCCCGTGGAAAAACATATAATTAATATAATAAATAAATGAAAATAAATCGCCGACCGGGCCCCGCCGTACGTTGGGCCCACGTGTCACTGGCTGGCGAACAGGGAAAAGTACACGCGGGTCTGTGCGCCACTCGCCTTTTCTTTTCCTTTTTTTTTCTCTCCTTCACGTCTCTCTCCTCCCGCGCGGGGAAAAAAGAGAAAAAGAAAATTGAAAAAAATATCATGGCTTATCCTGCCGCGTGGGCCCCACCACATCCTCCTCCGCCTTTTTCCCCCTCCGGTGGTGCACGACAGCCTATGGTGGACCGAGACCACGTGTTGCCCCGCGTGAAGCGTCCACCACCAGCCGGGGGTTAAAATGGTTAATGAGCGGGATTAACACCTAATCTGGCTGGTTAACTAGCGTCATTAGTGGAGTAACTGCTAATGCTATTGCTAGTAGATTTTTTTTCTACTATCCACATAATAAAACACAATTCTCCAAAAGACCGGGGAATTTCTGAAGTACTCACTCCGTCCATCAAAACCAATATAGTACGTACTTCCTCCATCGCATGAAAAATCAATGTAGTACTGAATGTGACATATCCTATTATTATGAATCCTGACATATATATATTTAGATTTATTGTACTATAATTTGTTACATCTAGTTCTAAATTTATATTTTATGAGATATAGGAAGTATGTCTAATTATTATATTTGTGGTTAAATCTGTCCACGTAGACGCATGAAGAATTAACCCTCGGTGTTAAGCCAAAACTACTGGTGACGACGCACGTGATTCTTTTCATTTAAATAAGAGCTTGCACGAACCAAGTACGTCACTAGTAGAAAATGGTAGAAGTACCCATTCGGATTCCGAATACCGCAGCAAAGATTAACTCTATTGGTACTCCGTATTCAGGTTTCTTTGCTTAATTTAGTGAGTAGATCGAATATTTTAGTTGCAAGTGATGGCTTCTTCTCGATCCCCTTGCTGGATTGATGAATGATGGCGGAGCTGACTAGAATACTCCTAAAATTGACCAATTTTCGAAATTAAAACAGTATTTTTATCGAATTTTATATTCGGCATAATAAATTAATAAATAGCATTAGTATTTCAGAAATAGTGCGAGTGAGAGTAGTGCTGTGAAGGTTGGTGGCTAGTGGGCGCCCACGTGACGTCATCGCACTGCCACGTCGGCGCCCACGAGTAGAAAAAGCGAAGAGGGGTGAGGGAGGCTACGTCCGGTTCGTGGGCCCCACCGTTAATGCTTGCCTGGAGACTTTCCGCCCTTTTAACACAAGCGCAGCAACCGGTGCGACGCCGTGCCACGTCAGCCCCGGTAAACCCCCCCGCCCTCCCCACTGTCCAGATCAGGACCATCTACATGGCCCCACAAGTGGGTCCCACCAAAAGCGGACAACGAGCCAATATTAAATTCATATAAAATAAGGCATAATATTATTTTAGTGCTGATTTTATTAAAATATACCAGAATTATTTTAGTATTTTTCTTTAGGGGGCTAAATGGGGACCCTTTTTCCCCATCCACCACCCACCTCCTACTGCCGGTCGACGCTTAGATTTTTCCCGCCCGCGGGCAACCGCCACGTGTCGGTTTCTGGCCCATGCTTGAGCCGTAAGGAAGAGAGATTTTATTGCGCGGGGGTTCGGTGGTAGCGTCGCTCTCGGACCCCCCGCGTGTGGGCCCCACCTCCCTGCCCCGATCCGAGGGCGGCGGTGCCCGCCACGGTGGCGCAACGCGAGCCCGTGGCCGTCGGATGCGGGATCGCCGGGCGCGCGTATCCGGGCCGTCCGATGCGGGGATGGAGGGGGGGGGGGGGGGTGGCAAGCGACAAAACGAGGATGAGGCGAGCGGGTTGCCTAGAAAGCGAGCCAGACGGAAGGCCAAGGCAGAGAGGGGGAGGAGGAGGCCACAAGACGAGAGAGCAGCGGCGAGAAGAAGAGGAGGCCACCACCATAGCTGAGGAGGAGAGGAGAGGAGAGGAGAGCCAGAGTAGTAGGAGTAGCCTAGAGAGAGAGAGAGGGGATTTGTAGCGAGAGGAAGAGGGTCTCTCTAATCTTAGCGGAGTGATTTTGATTTTGGTTGGATCTTGTGGTGTTTGGTGGTGAGGTTTGGGGGAGGAATCCGGGGAGGAGAGGAGGGGATTTTGGAGGAAGATCGGGGGGCGCATGTCTCAGATCTGAGGATGGACCGGATCCGGGAGGGGAGCAGGAGGGCCGGGGTGTCCGGTGGTGGGGGCGGCGGTGGGCCGCCGCCGCCGCGCCGGCGGCTGAGGAGCAGCGGCGGAGGCGGCGGGGGAAGCGGAAGCGGCGGGCCGAGGGACTCGCCTCGCTCCGAGAGGCGGCGGGGTGAGAGGTTGATGCTCAACGGCGGCGGCGGCGGCGGCGGCCGGGACGACGACGACGACACCTCCGACGAGAGCCTCGGCGACGACGACGAGGACGCCGACGAGGAGCTCGCCGCGTCCGCGCCGCGGTACCCGCCGGTGCAGCGGCGGTCGCCGAGCACCGCGCCACCGCCCTCGCCGCCCCAGCCCAGCGGCGGCGGCGGCCATCACCATAGCAGTAGCAGCAGCGGCGGCGGCGGCGGAGGCTACCACAACCATCACCACCATGGAGGCCAGCCGCAGATGCAGCGGAAAGGGGGCTCCAATCCGAAGAGCCCCATCGTATGGAAGGCCGCCGACGAAATGATCGGCGTGCCGGTTCCGAGGAAGGCTCGGTCAGGTATGCGCTTGGAAACCACCGGAAATTTTGGCATCTCCGGTGTTCTTCGTTCTTCTCCATATGGCTAACTCGCTCCCCTTGATTTTCTTCAGCTTCTACAAAGAGGAGTTCGCACGAGTGGTCGGTCCCCGGCGGTGGAAGCAGCGGCGGCGGCGGCAGCGGTAGCGTCGCTGGAGACACCTCACAGATCCAGCGGCCGTCCTCACGGCCGATCTCTCCAGCGTCCGGCTCTACCACCGGACCTGCAAGGAAGAAGCTGGTAGGTGTCACACATCTCCTCGCCTCCTTGGCTTGCTGATTTTTCTCTCGGTTTTTAGCTGATTTTTTTCTGTTGGTTTTTCGCCGCGTCTCTTCACAGAAACATCTTGGTGGCAGTGGGAGCAGCGGCGCTTCAGGGCAAGCACCCAAGCAGCGGCCTTCGCCGGCATCAGCTCCGTCGACAGCGCCACCGCAGCCTCCCCCGCCGAAGATTTCGAAGTCGCCGTCTTTCATTCAGGAGGAGATCGAGGTCGCCGAAGTTCTCTTCGGCCTCACGAGGCAGTTCCCGTGTCCTTCCAAGCCAGTGGAGAGCAACCACAAGCTGGAGGTCAGGGACGCCCCGGAGGCCAAGTCCGGGAACTCCTCGCCGGCCCCGTCGTCCTCGGTTGCACGGCCATCCGATTCGACATCCGTTGCTACAATAGGTTTGAGCCTCTTTCACTTCCCTACTTGCAACGATTTCTTCTTTGCCAATTTTGGGTTTCTGGGAGCCTCATCTCATCTTTTGCCTGCTTATTGCAGCGCCAAAGAGGAAGCGGCCACGGCTCGTCAAGTACGACGACGATGTCCGGCCAGCGAGCCCGGCGAAGCCAGACTTGGCTGAGCCGTCCTCGAGGCCAGAGACGCTTCCGGCATCAAGATCGGATGCAAAGGCGTCGGTGTCGGCCGCTACCGACAGTGGCACCACCACCGCCACCGCTGGTGCGCAGCACGAGGCTATGCGGGAGCAGGAGAAGAGGGAGGACCATAGGAGTCGAGATTCGGAGCTCCGGCCAGGCGAATCAGATCGCCGGGATCACAGGCCGGAGAGCCGGGCAGAGCCGACGCCGCCGGCGCAGCCCTCAGGCAAGCCGGATGGTGAATCGGCGGCGGTCGTCTCCGAGGCTAGGAACGGCGAGGCCACCGCCGCGACAAAGATGTGGGTCCTCCTGGATTTTTATATTATTCGGTGTTGCGATAACCATTATTGTTTTTGGATTGTGCCGATCTGATTAAGTGATTAGTATATTCACAATTTGTGTGAACGATATTTTTTTTTCAGTGAGCTGGCATCTGATGGAGCTCGGCAAGAAAAGTTTTGCATTGATCTCATGGTGGGTATATGCTTCCTTGTGTGTGTGGTTGAATTGGTCTTGCGGAATTTGTTGGGCAATGATTGAAAGCGACAATTTTTGCCGCAATTGTTGCTTGGTTTTTTCTCCCCTTTTCTTATCTTTTTTTGCTCCTTTTCTGACTTCTTTTGTTTTTAATTTTTTTTGGTTCCAGGCTCCTCCTCCTGGGAAGTCTCCTGATAGAGATGGTGCTTCCGACCCTGATGTGGATAAGAAGGGATTGGATTCTGAGATGGACATGGTGTGAACTTCAGTTTCACCAATTTTTTTTAGTTCACCTGCTAGAGCATTGGATTTTTGGACACTGATTGACCATTTTATTTGTGTTTTGGTTTGATTTTAGGCTGCGAGAGGAAATTCCGAAAAGAAAGACGCAGAGAGGCCACGGAGAGGGCTGGAGATCAATTTGGAGGATGATAAGATGGTGCAGAGGATGCCAGCGGATGAGGTTGCTCCAAAGAAACTCACGCTGCAATTGGATTTGGAGAAGCCCAGCCTTGGTGACGAAAAGTCCCCATCAGAACGACGGCCACAGCCGGCATTGCAGCAACAGAAACCTAAGAATGAGATAAAGCATGAAAAATCTGGTAAGAATTTTGCTATATTCGTTTGCAAATTTGGTTCTTTTGGTTTTCGAAATGTGGGAGTTTTCTCATCTGGAATTCATCCTCTCTTGCAGCAATGCCTGCTGTTACACCACCTATGCCGATACCTGTTGGAAGTTGGCTGGGGAGTTTTCCACCATTTGGGTGAGTTTTCTTGGCTGATTGATGTGTTACACTCTTGCCCCCAGAGGAATTTTTGTTCTAAAGCTTGCTGTTTCCTGACCTCCCAGTTACCTCGGTCCTGTACCGGCACTATCAGCTGCTGGTCTTCATCATCCTATGGATGTCAAGCCAGGGTCTTCTGCTGGATTACAGGTTTGCTTCTCATTTCAGCCTAGATATGGTTCTCTGCGTTTTGACCTCCTTCCAAGCACTGATTTCTTTTTTAATTGCAGCATGCTGCATTGCTACCTCCAGTACGGCCAAAGCGCTGTGCTACGCATTGTTTCATCGCTCAGCAGATCAGGTACAACCAGCAAGTGACAGCAAAGATGCAGAACTTCTGGACACCGGCGACGGCAGCAGCGGCAGCCGCCGCCGCCAGTAGATCGGCGGCGCCATTCTTTGGTCCACGACCATTCAACATGGGTGTGGTGCCGCCAGCGGAGGCTGCCTCCCTTCTTGTGAATCCAATGCAGGGGAGCTACCCTGTGAGGGCCCACGCCCCCCTGCAAGAAGCCAAGGCTCCTTCAATGGCTACCTCTCCTTTCCAGGGGAGTCTATCAAAGGATAAAGCAGCAATGAACAATGCTGCTGTTGCTGAGTCAAGCCAAAGAAAGCAACCTCCGGCTCATGAAGCACAACAACCCGGTCCCGTGCCGAACATGCTGGTATGTTCATGTCTGGTGTGCGATGTGTTTTCGTTCTTCGGAAAAAAACGTCATTTGGTTTCCTTATGAGAGTCCCCTCTTTTTTTCAGCAAGGCCCGGCATTCATCTTTCCATTCAACCAGCAACAAGCTGCAGTTGTGGCTGCTGCTGCAAATGCTGCCAGCCGAGTGGGTGATGCAAAGCCTTCTGTGGGCAGTAATACAATGCCACCATCTGCTGCTGCCCACAATTCTTCAGCAAACCCTGGCGCAGCGGCCATGAACCTGAGCTTTGCCAACTTGCCACCAGCTGATGCTCAGCTTTTTGCCATCTTACAGAATGGCGGCTACCCGTTCCAGGTTGCTGCTCATGCTGGAGGACCTCCTGCTGCCTATCGAGGCATGGCACCACCAGGACCTGCTGTTCCGTTCTTCAATGGGCATGTTTACCCTTCTCACATGTTGCACCCATCACAGCAGCAAGGGGCGTCACCACAAAATCTTCAGAAGAACCCCATGTCAAACATGTCCGCTTCATCTCAGAAGCATCAGCCACAACAATCTCAAGGGTTACTGGGATATGCACCAAATGCTAATGCTGCTGCAGCTGCCAGTAATTCCCAGAGCTATTCCAGTGGCAACCAGCGTCCAGTGCTGCTGCCTGGCCTTGCTCACCGCCAGGACAGTGAGAAAACTGTGCAAGATGGTCCATCGGGTGATGACAAGTCATCTCACCCTCAGAAAGGAGGTTATGATCATAATTATGCCGTTCCAGTTCATCTTCCAAATTTTGCATTGATGCCCCCTACTTCCGCTGCTGGTGGTGGTGGTCAGAGTGACAAGAAGTTAAGTGATCACCACCCGCATCAGCTACCACCGGCGAGTCGAGGGCAGGGTGTGAGAATTGATCTTGCTTCCTCTCCCTCTTTTGTGGTTCCTTTTGGTTCTGTGGGTGCTCCTGGATCTGCCCCAGGTGGCCTTGACTTTTCTTCATTGGGGCCGAACCATCAACTATTCCAGAGCCATCAAGAAGCAGGCAGGCATGGTTATCCTCAGCTCAATTTTGCCACAGCGCAATCTGTTCAAGCTGGTCAACACAAGCCCCAGCGTCAGGTCAGTGGAGAAACAAAATCTGTGGCTGGTGATTCTTCAACGCATAACACTGTTGACAGTGAGAGAAAGAAATCAGCAGCTGCAAAGTATCCAGGTGATTCACAGCAGCATTCACTTTCCTTCTCCAGGCAAGATAACAAGTCTTATGTGCCTCCTTTCCTTAGTGGAAGCACTAATGATAGCTCATCCCGCACCTTGAGCCTTATTGGGTCAGAACCTTCAAATGCCTTCAGTCTAGGAGGCAAATCAGCAAATACATCGGCCCCGGCAGCTACATCAGCGGCAGCACCATCCCCATCCAGCATTCCTCAGCAGCAGCAGCAGCAGCAGCAGCAACAACATTTCCTTCAACTTCATAAGCAGCAGCAACAATTGATTCAGCATCACCATATGAACTCTCGCCCCAGATCTGCTGCACCAAGCAATACAGGTGGATATTCAGACCGCTTGAACATGCCAAGTTTTCAGGGTATGATGTACCCATCAAGTGCTGCCCAAGTGGGTGTTCCTAGTCAATCTCCTCAATTGAAGCCTTCGTCAGCCAGAGCAACAGGTGCACCTGCTGGTGTGGCTTCCCCTGGTGCTTCACCCTCTAATTTGATTGTGATGAAGAGTGGTCTCCATCAGCAACAAGCTAAGGCTCCTATGCAGTCTCTCTCTACCTCAAACCACCAACCCCAGAGTTCATCAAAGATGGGTCCTGTCACTAATATGTCTACTGGAGGAGGGGATTTGTCAAGATCTTCAAATGCTCCCGTTGCTTCTGGTTCACCATCCAATTCAGTCTCCAAAAGTACTGGTGGCAGCCCACCGGCTTCTGGAAGTGCAAAGGGTGTTCCACCAGCTGTCCAATTGCCGTCACCTCAACAACAATCAGCCAAGAATCCAGCATCGACGTCTGGAGCCAAGTCAGCTCCCACAAATCACTATAGTAGTATGCCTATGCCATCGATCCTTGGTCAACAGCCAAATGTGCCGCCTGGTTCTAATTCAGGCAGTAAGCAGCAGTCGCACATGATGAAACAGCAGCCATTTCCACAAGGAGGTCATTTCTTCATCTCCAATGCATACACACCACAAGCCCCTGGAGCTGCTGGAGGTGTTGCTCTTGGCCTTTACCAGAAGCGCTCAGCTGACAAGACGCAGCAGCAGCAGCAGCCCCATCAGCAGAGCGCCATGTCGGGTTCGTCTACTATGCTCTCCCTATGCTCTACTTCCATGTCTATTTCCACAACTGCAATGCTAACTGATCCAGTGAATGTTCTTGCAGCTGCAGCCAGCAATAACATGAAGACTCATCATCCTCCCGCTGGCAGTTTTATGCATCTTGCCGCAGCATCTCAGTCTCCGAGCGGTGTGCCTCACTCTCATATGTCAGCGGCACAATTGACTTTTGGGGCCCCAATGTCAATGTCTGTAAAACCATCAAGTGATCAGAAGCCTGCTGCTGGTAATGGACTTGCTCTTTTCTCCACATCTTCTATTTCTTCCCTGTATAAGCTCAAATGTTTCTCCCATGAAACAAGCCTGCTGTGAATTCTTTTTCCTAATTGAAACATCCGTCTTATCAGGCAAGTAAGATGTCGATGCTCGGACTTCAGGACGCTACTCTGGACTTGCGAGCTAACTGCTAATTCTGAATATGCGCGAACGGAGCTACGCCTCTTGGACCCCAGAAGAAGCAGATCGCAGCAACAGCCACAGGCGCAAGAGCCTGTTTGCTGGCTGTTAATCGAAGAGGACGGCGCGCCCATTCCTTTGCTGGATCATTTGCTAACTGAAGTATTTGGAATGGTTGATGGGAGTGATACTTTTGTGTAGTAGGTTATCCTCTCATGATGGAAAGCTGGAGGTGCATAGAATCTCTTTTTAGCAGTTTTATGCATGGATGTCAAAAGCTGGTCTCTTTCTCCCTCTCCCAACTGCTTTAGCTTTGTTCTTTTTGTTGTTCTCTTAACTGAAGCAAAATTTAATTAGAATGCAGGACAAGGTAACTTTTGTGATGTGGTGGTGTTCCTCTTTCCCTCTATATTCCTCACCATTCTCTGCTTGGATTGTTTTAGCAATTGGGAGAAGAAACATATTATCCCATAGATGAGCCATGATTTGATTGGGTTGGAGGGGGGTGGCATGGCATGGCATGACCTGCCTTTTCGGTTGTGTTGTGTTGTAATTAGCTTTGAAAGAGAAGTGAGAAATGAACTGATGAAAAGAAAAATCAAGGTTGAAAATTCCTGGTCTATTATGTCATCAGTCTCTGCAATGCTAATCCGAAAGTGAGGTGTGGTTGCTTGCATTTGTTAACTTCTGTGGATGGACAATCTTCTACTAGTACTATCTTGATGGATATCGCATTTTAAAGCTCTAGCTGAGCACACGTGTCTGGACTGAACACCATTCAACGTGCAGGCTGAAAAGTATAACACCAGGGGGCTTCACTTTCTTGGCACAAGCATCGGTGTTGCCACCTTCACTAAATTTCAGAGAGATTGTGGGGCTGTGTGTTCTCATATCATCCTGAAGCCCTTGTCTTAGATCCATTGATCCCAGTTGGTGACATGTCATTAATTTGCCTTGCCGGATTTTTTGAATGCCTACCACAAGTAGCTTTTGCTCCATGAGCTTTCCAGCACTCATCAGCATTGGCAATGGATTCTATCCTACTCTAGAGAAAATCCTATGGATGCACACACATCCACATACACAAACATTGTGGTCCCTATCAAACATGCAAATTGTCTTTTTGATGGAGGAGGACAAAGTTTGTTGTTTCGCCTTTGTTTAGAATGCTCTCTCTGTCATTGACGTAACAAGCGAAGCTGTTCCCTGCAAGTTACCGATTCCCCTGCAAATGCTGATTCTGTTTACTAATGTTGACGTAGATCTAATTATCCGTAGCATGTGTTGTAGAAGGTGTATCTTTTTCGTTGCCCGAGTCGTTTACCTGCCCATATGACCCATTTGGTCAGGCTCTTGTTTTTCATACGGCGACTAATGGCAAACAAGTTGAGTAGATAAGTTAGTCATTGTAAACAATTTGGGTTGTTACTTTCCAATTTTTTCCCCTCGTGGATGTGAGGTTGCCGGCTATTGCCGTCATCACTGACGCTCAACGGACCGAAATCGGTACACCAAGCTTTTGCTTGGTATTACAGTGGATTATATAAGTGATCCTTTGGTCTAACTGTTTTTAAGACAATGGGATATCGTTTGGTGTAACCATCTTTAGACATTGTAGTGTTTGACGGACATTTTTTTTTCTTTCAATCTAAGTTACAATCAATAAATATTTTGGGAAGAAGGTGACGATGCATTACAAGTTGTTCCGACAAAATTTATTTAGAGTGCTTCTAATGCATTTGTAACCTTTGTTTCTACTTCCTCCATTTCAGATTACAAGACTTTCCACATTCATATAAATGTTAATTAATCTAGACACAAATAGATTCATTAACATCTATATTAATGTGGGCAATACTAGGAAGTCTTATAATCTGAAACGAAGGTAGTATCATTTAAAACTTATCCTAAAATATAACAACTTGTATACATACTTCTACATCTCAATCTATTACAATCATCTCGATTTTAGTTTTTCTAGTTCCTTACTTATTGTTTATGAGAAATTTTAGAAATAATTGTATTTTGAGACGGATGGAGAGGGAGTAGGTGATTTCTAGATGGCCAGAGTTGGTGTTCATTTTTTTACTAAAAGACTGAAGATGAAGTTAGGGCCCGAAAAAAAAATCATTAGTGCCTGATTAGTGAGTTTTAATTATTATAAACTTAAAATATATATATTTGATATTTTAAAGCAACTTCTATAGAAAATTTTAGCACGGAATGTATCCTTTAACATTTTCAAACACTCTCGCATGCTAACTAAAACTAATAAAAAAAAAGAATATAGCCTAGACTACTTTACCCCCGGTTCACCGCACACCTGGAACGCCGAGATCACGCAACCTTGCGCCAGCGCCGCTACTACAAAAAGGCCGCGCCGCGTCTGTAATCCGATCGACCAACGCGCGCGAGAGACGGACAGACACCAGCTGCTGCAACCGCGCGGAGCATAGCGAGAGCTTTAGCCGAGTCGACGCCGCCGACGATCCGCTTCCACTCCACCTGCCACCACCGCCCGTCGACCGCGCCCCGCAAGAGACCTCTTCGCCGTCGCCTCGCGCCCACGACGTGCGCGCGCCGCGCGGTCCGGTCATCGCCGCCGCCTCTTCACCGATCGATACGGCGGCAGCCGCGATCGATTCCCGCGCGAGCGCGTACTACAACGTGGTACGTTACGTCCCGTCCGCGCTCCTCCCCGCGTGTGCTCCGCGCGGCAAAACGCCGGGACGCCCGCTTCGCCCAACCACCACCCACAAAATCCCCAAGCATCGGAGAGTTTTGACGGACACTGGACTGGATCCGACCAAACAACGGGAGCAACCAATCCAATCCAGCAAGTAATAATCCGTACTAGTTTGGTAGGAGTACTTGAGTACTGACATGACGCCACAGATTCACAGCTGCATTCATTGTCCACAGTGTCAATCAACCCCCAAATCCTTCACAACTCCACCGGTAATGGTAAAGAAGCAGCACAGCTACTGGCCGAGGCTGACTCTACTGTTCCATCATTTTTCCTACTCTCTCCGTCATCAAAAAGAAAAAAAAAAAGGACAAACCCTGATTTCCGTGTCCAACATTTGACCGTCCGTCTTATTTGAAAAAATTATAAAAAAAATTAAAAAGACAAGTCACGCATAAAATATTAATCATGTTTTATCATCTAACAACAATGAAAATGCGAATTATAAAAAAATTTTATATAAGAAGGACAGATAAAGTTGGACACGAAAAATCAGATTTTACTTTTTTTTTTTTTTTGACGGAGTGAGTACTGCAGAGCCAGCGAAATGACACCACTGCCACCACTACCAACACGAGTTGCACGAAACGAGAGCAAACTCGCTGGGGCCCACCCGTGCCCAACCTGGGCCCCACCATCAGTGACCTGACATGAGGCTGACCCGCCCCCATCGCTTCCAGATGGCGCCAACTCCGAAAGAACAAACAACCATAGCTGGGCCACCACTGATCAGAGCTGACCACCTTTTGGCCCCACATCACGGGGGAAGGGCCCCACCCTCCAGCATAACGTACGCATCGGATCCTCCAACGGTGGGGGCCCACCGGCATGGGGCGGTGTCCCCACCCTGCAGGGACAGATTCCAGTGAGATGAGATCGACAACCGTGGCCTCACTCTGCCGGCGATGTCCGAGCGCACTGACCACTGTTCCTTCCCGCCGGCGAGCGGTCGCGAGTCAGCTCAGCTCAGTCTCAGTCGCTGAGAGCTGAGCAGAGCTGACCCAAAGAGGGCGGCAGCAATTTCACCTGTGCTCCGGTCACTGTAGCATTGGCCTTTTGGCACCAGGCAGCAGTGACTTGCAGTAGGAGTAGCTGGGTACCATTGGTCCGGTTGTGGTGTTGTCATTGCTGGCCTCTGGTTTGAGACAGGATATTCATGACAGGGGCTAAAGCGTACTACGGCCCCGTGATGTGTGTTACTCCTACTCCTACTACTAGTACTAGTTGGAGTAGCTTCTCCTTCAATACTGTCAATGCATGACGAGTACAGTACGGCATGTACTATTCATATTAAAAATTTATGAAAAAGTTTAAAAAAATAGTCACACATAAAATACTATTCATATTTTATTATCAAATGACAACAAAAATATTAATTATAAAAATTTTTCAAATAAGACGAGTAGTCAAACGTTGAAGATGAATATAGCAAAGCTGCACTTATTTGGGAATGAAGGAAGTACAACCAAAGCCATACTTAGAGAACTCATCTTCCAATGAAGAATACCTCTGATGGGTTCTTCAAAATCTGAGGCCATTTGATAAAGATACTCTAGCCCACAAAGGGTATCCCGGCCCAAGGTAGCCTCAAGTGAGAAAATACCCCTCCCCACTGCCCATCAGCCCACCAACGCCAAGGTTTACATTACCGTCGGTAACCGCACGGTTATCGCGGTTACCAGCCTTACCGAGGGAGTACGGTAATAGAAAAACCATGGTAACCTCCTTAAATTCAAATGAATTTAAAAAATAATTTAAATTTTTGATAAATTTTGCACGATTTTTCACGGTTACCGCGCGGTAACCGTGCTTACCGCTGGGGCGCGGTAACCCCGGCCCTTGCGGTTTGGGAAAACCTGACCGACGCTGCTCCTATCTCTTCCTCTCCTCTTCTCGTCTCTTCCGCCCACCATTTCCTGCGCTGATTTTTCTCCCTCTCTCCGCCGCTGCTCCGTTTCCTCCTCTTCTCGTCGCCTTCTACCTCGTCGGTGCCGGATCCACTCTCCCCACGCCCTCTCTCTCTCTCTCGTCACTGCCTCTCTCTCTCTCTTGCAATGCTCGATGGCAAGCGGCGTCGGCGGGGTCATCTCTCTCGCCACCGCCCGTCGTCACCGCCTCTCTTTCCCGTCGCCGCTGATGGAGAGCGGCGCGCGGGTCGAGGTTGTTAGAATAATTGGGCTAGGCCCAATTTATTCTATTAAATCTCAAAGGCCCATAATAAATGTTAAGGATAATAATACCACCTCAGGATTTAAGCGAGAAATATCTCAACCTAAATAGGGAGTTATTAGAGGCTCCCTGTTGACCAGTTGAGGTGGGGGTCGGAATGCCACACGCGCGCGCGCGCGCGCCGGGCCGGGGCGTGGGCGTGGGCGTGGGCGAGGCGTGGCGTGGCTGGCTGGCTGGCTGGCGGCGGGCGTGCGTCACGTCGCTCTTTTGCAGCCACTAACCCACGTTCCCACGATTCCCTCCGCAACAGCGCGTCCACGTTCTTTCTCCTGATAGAAAAGGAGGCCGCGAGTCTGATCCGATTTCTTAGCTGCTTCCCCGGTGTTAGTTTCTCCCCTGTGCCTGAGTTGCTCTCTCCCTTCCCCGCTTCTGATCTCTTGCGCGCACGAGAGATTGGAAGAAGCAGTG